ACTTCTACCTGTCGATTCTGCTCACTGCAGTTGTAGATACCTACTTCGAGATTGATAAAGAAGTTCTGAGTCGCAACCGGATACTTTATTATGGTACAAATAGTTACAAACTGAGTTCACAAGGCCGACATATATGCCAGACAGTCAGTTAAGTGCATTACACTCATATTAAAGCAGGAATCAGCTTACTTAAAATGGCACCACACCAATAACACGGTCAATGGGCCATATTATATGCAGAGCAATATTATTTTTACATATGAGGAACGCTTCACCCTGCATCCAGATAATAGGTGTAAATTCATTTTGAGAATCGCTCGTTCCAGATTCCACCACATTTTCCTTGAGATGGAAGTATGATGTGGGCAGGAATAAACATTGGTGGACGTACTATTTCCACATCCTATGCAATGCTACACTTTGTAGGTACTACATCCTGTAACTGTGGTTCAGTATGCTGGTGCAATGGCCCTGATGACTTCAGACTAATGGATGATAAGGCATCTTTCCACAATGTTAAAGTGCTCGTTCACTGAATAAAGAATTTAACCTATGGAGTGGCCTGCGCGTCACTAAACTTCAATCCAGTTAAGCATGTGTAGGATGTTTTCGAGAGACATGACTTAAGATATTAAAGATGCCTTACAAACAGCTCTTACATGAATTATAAAGAAGTAAATTTAAATGACCAATGATGTATCATCAGATATCCACTGTGCATACAAACGAACTTGGTTGTAGCTAAAATGTTACAAATTCCAATCGCTTTTAATTGTGTAATGTATTTTGTAAGCTGGGATCGGACAATTACTCTTGAGACTATAACCAATTTGTTTTAAGACTTTTTTTTCATAAATTGTTGCTATAATTCAAAATATTCCAATGAACAGTGGTTGAGGAAAAAAAAAGTGATACTTATTATTTTGCTTTGTTTTCAGCGGAGATCGCATCTCACATTTGGCGTTTTTTTAAACCAGCTTGTATAATTTTAATGTAATCAAAGCCAAGAATATAAAATATTTCTTGAAGCATTATTTTCTTTTCTTCTCCTCCCCTAGTTGATTATATAGCGAAAGAATATTTCTTACTCTTCCGAGCCCGGCATGGCCAGGTGGTTAGGGCGCTTGACTCGCAATCTGTGGGTCGCGAGTTCGAATCCCCGTCACACCAAACATGCTCGCCCTTTCAGCCGTGGGGCGTTATAATGTGACGGTCAATCCCACTATTCGTTAGGTAAAGGAGTAGCCCATGAGTTGGCGGGTGGTG